GCAGTAAGGGCTCAATCACATAGCGCAGATGTACCAACAGTGCATTGCACGGATTACTTTTTTTTGTTAGAACTTCATTAAAAAGTCACAAGTGATATTTCATTCAGTTCTATTTGGTGCAGCACAGTTGCAGTTATGTGCGCTAGAAAAACTACAGCGCGCAGTACATTTTTTTTCAGCACACCAAGCTGTGACGTAAACCACCCCATCTCAGCGCTGTGATGTAAACTGACCCCATTGAAAACAAGGCTCTTTGTCTTGTCTATGCATTGGGACTGAGCAGGACAAGACTGCCAGCGCGGCCCCAATGCATCTGGTGTGAACGAGCCCTTAAATGCAGATAAACACAGGAGCGTGAAAGGGCCCACAACAGACTAAATGCCTATAAAGAAGGGTGGACAAAGTAAAGCAAGATTCAGGATCTTAGCGCACAACCTGCTGCCCGATTGCCAAATGAGGCTCTTTGGTGTCTGAAGTGCAACCCTCAGGCCCAGGCAGTCAGTAATGGAAACTATGATTTAGGGCTGCAGCCAATTATTTTCATACTCGATTAGTTGGCCGATTGAGAATTAATCACGGCAATGCTTGAATATTACAGGGAACGATAAGCAAATATTTCACATATTTGCTGATTAACCCACAGCTCTCCTTCCCGCACCACCCGGCTCCTGACCTGGCTCTGTCACTGCTCTCCTCCCCGTTGTATGCCGGCAGGTGGATCAGCTCTGTGTCCCCTCCGATCCCTTCTGCCTTTGCCAATACAGGCGGGGGGAGAGCAGCAGGGATAGAAATTCAAGTCAAATGGTTTTTAAGCTATTTCCAATGCTGATCAGTTACAATGGATGTATAAAAGTTGTAGTTTCCTGGAGAATCAGCTGCGCCCCTGAGCCCTGGCCTGATATCCTGTTCTGGGTGGCTACTTTCTCTTGCAGGGTCCTATGAAGTCACCCTTGTGTGTGCGCTAGTAAGCCTTGTGTTTACACAGACACTTCACTCTCTTTCCTCTCCCAAGCTAGTAGATGGACCTCTGCTGAAGAGTGCTGAGCCCCTTGCGATCCCGCTGAGCCCCTCGCGATCTTGTACTTGACAAGATGTAAATATTTTGCTGTGCAACGTATATTAATTGGATTCATTATTAACATATAAAAGTTTAAGCGTTTAATACTACAAGACTTCAGTCTATGACAGCCTTCTGTAGCACTACATATATGTGGCCCTTTGGAGATATCAAAGGTCACATTTGATGCCCCCAGTACCTTGTAAGCTGACAACCACTGACTTAGGAGCTGCTGTGATTATTCCAAGAGCCAGGGAGGTGACACGTTACCACTAAAGCAAATGACAACTAGCCGGGCTTCATCTGCACTTGTTGGTCTCCGATAATGAAATCAGAAGACTGCAGTGTATACACACATCACAAAGAAGATCTGGTGTGCTCTTGTTGTCAATGTAGTAAACAAGAGCCGACACCACAGCTTGCAGCTGACCTATGAGCAGACTGAACACATAGCAGATGAAGAATCTGCTTATCTGAAAGGCTTTGTTTACAAAATATGCGTTGTAGGAGAGGAAGACGGGAGTAAATATTACATAACAAGAGGCCAAAGAACCATGTTCTGAGCAGAGATCAGGGAAACGCACCGCAGGAGTAGATAAAGATGAACCCCGGGCAGATAACAGACACAATAATGCAGCTCTCCATTTATTAATACATTCTGAAGTGTCTTTTATAAATACAAGTGGGGTAAAGACCTGGATGTGAAAGTAAAACTGCAGCAGGGAAAACACAACTTCCTTCCCCTGTCAGACAGAGATGTGTAAGGCCGGATGGACAGAAACACAACTCCTTTGGCAGAATATGGATTTCATCGGTGTAATTAGCTCTGTGCCCAGAGTAAGTACTAGAATTACAGAAGTGTGGCCCCTCAATGGACACGACGCAGCCACTTGCCTCTCTATAGCTGGCAGGTTTGTTTGTATACAAAGGTCATGTGATAACCCTTGTCGGTTGTCATGGTGATCACATGATGTGAGACTGGCAGCATGAACAAGTGTGCGCACAATGCCCCAGAACGTGAATCTACAGATTGTGGTTGTGAAGGGGTTATGGTCATCTGCCTTGACCGAGGCAAGAACTGGGCTCTAACCAAGTCAGGATCCCGCCATACAAAGACGCAAGGATGGACAAATGAATATGGAATTCAGGGGCCAGTCTGTCCAATCTATGTACCAGCAGGACTTTAGGGGTCAGCTCCATTGACAACAAGAGGAAACCTCAAACATTAGGAGATGGCTGAAATTTTTAGAGACCATTGGCAACCTGGCTCCTTGGAATTGTCCAGGCCAGCAAAGAAACATAAGCTAATAAGGTTCTATCTGGCAATTCTTTCCTGCCAGCTTGTGATGCTTCAAATCTTACTTCTGGACAAAGCAACCTGGTGGCAGGCAGACGTTCCTTTTATATTGCATTCGCTGGCCTGTGCCCTGCGCCATCATCCTGACAGCTGTCTTCTCTTCAGTTCCTGCTACAGGCCCAAAACAAAAGGACATTTTTTTCTACCCAAGACTCATAAAATTAGATGGGGAACGCTGGGGAAAAAAATCTCTCTCATGCACCCATGCTATTAGACGTGATGACTTATGGATCCATAGACCGCCGGAGCAGAGAGGCTTCAGGGATGGGTCCAACAGCGAGCCAGCTCTGAGGTTCAGGTGAGTAGAACTTTGTTATTTTCGAAAATGAGAATGTAACACTTGCAGTGCATGGGGTAGCCCCACTACTAGGGTTAAGATCATGTTTCCCGGTTGTTCTTTACGTTTTTTAAATGAAAAAGAAGAATTGCAAAATGTTCAGGCATCAGACGAGGTACACTCTATGGCTAAAGGTTGGAGTACACCTGACCATCATACCAACACAAGTTCCTTGGACATCCCATTCTAAAACCATGGCCATTAATATAGAGTTGGCTCCATGCTTCACCTGCGCCCCTCGAGGAAGGTGTTCCATCAGATTCTGGTGGCAATTTGTGCCCATTGAGCCAAAAAAGCATTTGTGGTGTGAGCTACTGGTGTTGGAGAAGACCTGGCTCACACTCAGCATTCTAATTCCATCTCAAAGATGTTCAATAGGGTTAAGGTCAGGGTGCAAGCAACTCAAGTTCCTCAAACCCTGGGAGCTATGGAGGTGGCTGTGCACATGAAGCCATCATGGTGAAACAGAAAAAGCTCTTCACCAAACTGCTCCCTCAAGGTTAGAAGCTCACAATAGTCTAATCCAGAGGTGGACAAATGGATATGGAGTTCAGGAGCCGGTCTGTCCAATCCAGGAGCCAATTTCATTATCAACTAGAGAGAACCTCAAGTTTGGCATTAGCTGTAATTATGAAGGAGCACTGGTGACCTGTGATCTGGCTCCAGTCCTGGTCTAAAATATCTTTGCATACTGTAGCATCAACATCATCGTTCACTGAAGGACGCTGGACCCAATCATTTGGAGGGAAGCCCACATACATTTGGCGATATGCAACGTTTCAGACATGTATACAGCAATCTTATGAAGCATCTGAATTCGACAGAGGTCGCCAAGGTTTTCAGTATGTTGGCAAATCCATCCATCCTGCATACAATCCATGTGGAATAAATCAACTACTTAAAGAAAACGTTTTGCTTATCATTCGGTACAGTAATGGATATCGGTCATCAAAATGTGTGTGTGGGGGGGTGGACACGAGACTTTGGGATGCCTCGCAAACTATTCCCACGCTCTGGTTTCTCCTCATCCCATAGACTGAGGTCAGGGTGCAGGCGACTCAAGTTCCTCCACACCAAACCCTGAAGCTATGGCGCCGGCTGTGTCCACAGGTCATGGTGGTACAGAAAAGAGCCTTCACTAAAGCTCACAATGGTCTAATTCATAGGTGGACAAACTGATATGGAATTCAGGGGCTTTTTAGGAGTCAGCTCCATTGGCAGCAACTAGAAAAAACCTCAACAGTTAAGCACTGGTTGTAATTAGTAAAGAGCGTCGGCGACCTGGCTCCTGGGATCTGTCCAGCCCTGCCACACACTATGATCTGACACTATACCGCATGAAAAACCTGGTGTGAGGTGTATGACGGGGATCCATGTTCGCACAATGTCAGGAGTGAGAGGCTCTGAGAGGTGCGAGTGTTCAGGTCAGATGGGTGATCAGTAGAAATGGTGGTCACACAATGTCACGAGTGAGAGGGTCTGAGAGGTCTGAGTGTTCAGGTCAGATGGGTGATCAGTAGAAATGGTGGTCACACAATGTCAGGAATGAGAGGGTCTGAGAGGTCTGAGTGTTCAGGTCAGATGGGTGATCAGTAGAAATGGTGGTCACACAATGTTAGGAGTGAGAGGTCTGAGTGTAAGGTCAGATGGGTGATCAGTAGAAATGGTGGACACACAATGTCAGGAGTGAGAGGGTCTGAGAGGTGCGAGTGTTCAGGTCAGATGGGTGATCAGTAGAAATGGTGGTCACACACTGTCAGGAGTGAGAGGGTCTGAGAGGTCTGAGTGTTCAGGTCAGATGGGTGATCAGTAGAAATGGTGGACATACAATGGAGGGAAGTACTTGGATTTCGCTCATACACAGGATGAGGGAAATATATACAGAAACAGGAAGAGAAGAATGTAAACACAGGAGATACCGGTGTCTGGTACATACAGAGAGGATGGGGATGGTAATAGTGAGGTCTGGTATACACAGAGGATGGGGATGACAGTATTGGGGTCTGGTATACACAGGGAGGGGTCAGTGGGCTCCCATGGGAGGAGCCTGTAGAAAGCTCACAGACTGGGTTTATATAAGGTGAGGCAGAGCGGGGGAGGGGTATACAGCGGAGTCACTGATCTCCGGGGTCACTGTGCGGGGGAAGGGAGTCTCCCCTCTCCCGGCCGCGCAGCCCTCTTGCCACCATAATACTGTCCGCTTCTCCCCTCACCCTTACTCCCGGCCTCCCCGATCTCCCGGCCCGCACCTGAAAGTCTCGGTCTTCGTTAAACCGGGAGAATCTGTCCGCGGCCATCTTCCTGCGTCTGCGGGAACCAGGATCGCGTACATCAGTCTCCGCCCACTCGTCATAGGACGCATAACCAAGCCCCTCCTCCAGGACGGGAACACGCACTAAGTCGCACTCACGTTATGCGTAAGGCAACACCTCCGCCCCCTTCTCCGTCCCAGTCAGCCTTCTTCTGATGTCATACGTTTACCGCTCTGGGAATGGCTGCTATTTCCTTAGCGACTTCTTTCTCTTCTCTAGCGCAGAGCTAAGCATTCTTAAAGGGGACGTAGCCTCAAAAAGGAAAACAAAAATATAATACTCACCATACTCGC